TTGGCGTCCATTAGCACCACGAGATGGTCACGGCTGTGAACCTCCCGGATCGCTGCGTCGAGAGCAGTCCAGAAGGAGTCCTTGGCGTTAACATCACCGCCCGCGTGGTGCGGACAGATTCCGTGGGGGCGTACCCCACCATGAAAGTTACCCCGCAGGTGCGGCCAACTGTAGACGCACCTTCATCCNAACCTTGCCCCGCTCGTCGGGTCTCCTGAAGTCCTATCACATCACAGCCGGTCGCGGAACAAATCTGCATGACCGTCATCACGTTGTGACCGATGGGGTTCCTACCGCTGTAGGCGAGCGTGCGTACGTTGAACGTGCCACACGATACGTCGCCCTCTCGTACGTTCTTCTTCGCACCCGCCTTGACGGCCGCTTCGGTCTCGTGTCTCTCTCGGTCCACCTCGAGTTGCGGGTGTGCTTTCTTCCGTAATTTCCGAGCGGCGAATTTCCTCGCATCAATCCATCTCTGCAGAGCTCGGANCGATGGGGTTCCTACCGCTGTAGGCGAGCGTGCGTACGTTGAACGTGCCACACGATACGTCGCCCTCTCGTACGTTCTTCTTCGCACCCGCCTTGACGGCCGCTTCGGTCTCGTGTCTCTCTCGGTCCACCTCGAGTTGCGGGTGTGCTTTCTTCCGTAATTTCCGAGCGGCGAATTTCCTCGCATCAATCCATCTCTGCAGAGCTCGGATCTTGCCTGTGGTGTTTTGACGAGGAGGGTGCAGCACTCCCTCCCCGCGGTGCCCGCGGTCGTCTCCCTTCTCCCGCGAGCGGTGCTTACTGACGTGGTGTTTACGAATCTCTCTACTCCTCCAGCTTCGTGGGCCACGCTTTCCGCGACGGTGGTTGCCAGGTGCAGTTTGCCGCTTTGCATTACTGCCGCGGGAACAGTGTCCATACACACCTCTCGCCGCTACCACCGTCTGTGCATCCTCACCGCCACGCTGAGCCAGCGCGGCGGTGAGTTGCACCTTGGGACACCACCCGCCTACTATCTGTTGTGACCTGAATCGCCCGCGAGGGACTCACTAGGTCGATTTTGGCCCCGGCCGGGGAGCAGGCCGGGGGGGGGGATGTATGTGTAGCGTAGTGTGTAGATTCGGGGCGTGCTAGTCCATGCTACGGCGTGTAAACAATGGGCAAAAAAAGGGAATCTGTATATATAGGAAAAAAATCAAATGTTATTTGCAAGTGGGGTTGTGTTGCGAAGCATGAGAACATCGTGCAACTTGTGTTTTGGTCTATCAACGCACTCTCCAGCGCTTGTCGAGGGGAAGAGGACTCAACGGAAGTGTGAGAGTATGACCTTGAGCATTCTGTTTTCACCCCGATTCGTCGCGCACGAACCGCCCAAGGGACAAGGCACAAGCACGTGCGACACATAAGTCTCACTGTGCACCCACCTCTCCAACTGATCCAGGGACGCGCCCAGCTGCCCGCGGAGATCGGGGAAAAGCTGTTCGTCCGCCAACGAGAACAGGCGACTGTCCATCTCGACCTGGTTGAACACCCAATGAACGGCGACATACGGTGGCAAGAGATGTGGGGGGGG